AGTGATTGCATTGGATGGCAGAACAGGTTGAAGGTCTGAATGGCCTACTCCTGCCTTTATTTCCAATGTTTCTAAGAGTTCTAACCTTTACAAGCCTAAAATGTGACAATTTCAAATGTTCAGCAACCAAAAGACAGCCAAAGAATGAAGCACCTCTTTGAGCAGTTAAGGCACAAACACAAATCTTCCACTCTCAAAAAAACTGATTGAAAGATGTTGCTTTAAGAATGCTTGGACGTTTTCCATAAATGAACAAAATAAATCCCAGTAATTCGGCAGCGACCAGGAAAACAGATGTTCCAGGTTTGGGTGCTGCAATATTCTTTCACCTCAGGGATGTTTGTTTCAAAATTGCGTCAAGATATATAGACTAATTTGATGTCTTTTAAGATACTTTGCTGGAACAAATTAAAGCAATTTCAGAACCATTCTCAACTCACAGCATAAAACTGGTCTCAAATTGGACATTATGTTTTGTTTGTTAAAGAATCTTACTTTGTCAGCATTACGCTGGTTAAATAATACATGAAAAAGAGACGCAAGGTAATTGATTTATGATACAATCATCAGGGAAATAGTTCATGATATCTATGGGTACCAATGAGTAACTGGAACGCATCAACATTTCCTGCAGTTGAGTTATGCTGTGACTGTTTTAATAACAACAAGATGTGATAGGATACCTAAAGCCCAATATGCCAAATTTGCTTAAAACTTTAATTATTCTTCACTTCAATTCTTTATCTCCTTTGTTCTCTCATTTTGTTCCTTCTAGTGTTCCCTTCTTTCTCTTCCTTCTCAGTTTCCTTTCTCCTTCTTTCCTTTCACCTTCTATACCTCCTGCTTCCTTCCTTTCTAAATCTCTTCCTTTCCACTTTCCTCTTGCCTTCCCTGATGTCTTTGTTTTCCTGACTCATTCTCCTCCTTATTAATCTAGCTCTGATTAATCCACCATTTCTAATCTCAAGTACACAGCAAGTTGGAAGAAGACTGTGTTTCAGTCAGATGAAAGTTCTTACCTTAGTCAATGTTTTCCAGCTTCTCTTCATTTACTTAGACTTAGAAGCTTCCTATATCTAGTTACACAAGGGACAGATGTAGCAAATGTGAATGTCTGTAGTTCTTCCAGGAGTAGGTCACCAGCCTATTGCCAGAAGCTTTGGCTTGAGGGATATCACTCTGCATCAAGCGTAGCTAACCAGGAGACTCATGAATTCTTATTGTCTGCCAAGGATATACAGGCTGATAATCAACCTGTTTGGCTGCATCATGAATGTTCATTATATCCCCATCAAGTCCACGAGTGCATCTCAAACCTGAAACTCAAACCTCTGATTCCGAGATAAAAACAAAGTTGCTGGAAAAGCCCAGCAGGTATGGCGCATCTGTGAAGGAAAAAAGAGAGTTAACATTTCGGGTCCGGTGACCCTTCCTCAGGTCCAGAGACATTGTTGCTGCCCACTGCACTAGAAAAAAATTGATCTTGTTTCTTCACTTCCCTTCAGCTTTCCCTTTCCTTTGGCACCTCACCCCATCTCGCTTTGTCCCAGGTCAACTTTTCCAAACACCCATTTAGTACTGTCCTCCCCTCCACTTATCCAATTTCCCAGTCCTCACTTCTTGCCCTGATTCCTCACTATTTCCAATATAAGTCCTTATCTTCTGCCCGCTCAGTCTTATGCCCCTTCTCTCCTACTGTTCCTCCACCTTTGTCCTCTCAACGTCCTTACCTTATCCCTCAGCTCCTTATTCTCTTCCCTTGACATATCTTCTTTGTTTCCTATGTTATCCCTTTTGCCCATCCATTGTAGCTTTCCCCTTTACTTGTTACGTTGATCTGTCTGTCTATCATTTCTTGCAGCCCTTATCCAATTTGCTAAGGGTAACTGCAGCGTAGTTGAGCCATTTCACATTGAATGCTGAAAGGCCCGCTCTTGCTGTTATGTTACTTGGCAAGAGGTAACTGGCAACAATACTGTCTACTGTAGAGACCAAAGATGGATGACTCAGTCAGACATTAGTAATATTGATAGCACTACATTAGCAGAACAAAAAATGTCTGATAGAAGAGGATAATTGAAGAAATATCACTGAACGTATCTGTTATACTTGCGGGAAATTCATGTATTTGCAAGACATTTAATATTTTATGAGCACGTCTACACAACATTGTACAAGGTGAGTTAGAGGATGTTAACAAATTGCACAAAGGAATTGTGGCATTAAGCCACAAGAAAATTCCTCCCAATTTCTCAGGCAATTCAGGTCAGTTTTTTGAGCTGTGCCCACATAGCAGGAGTAAGTGAAGGAAATTCAAGTGTTTGGAGTTGTTTCAACAACACTTTCAGACACCAAGGGAGGGCATTTCCAGGAATAAAAACCTCATGGTTAAGATGACAAGAGATAATTGAGAGGATAATACCTCACAGTGTGGGATTTTTATTCAGGTCCCATGTTTTTCAGAGATAGTAGGAACTGCCGATGCTGGAGAATCTGAGATAACAAGGTGTAGAGCTGGATGAACACAGCAGGCCAAGCAACATTCTGAAGAAGGCTCCAGACCCGAAACGTCAGCTTTCCTGCTCCTCTGATGCTGCTTGGCCTGCTGTGTTCATCCAGCTCTACACCTTGTTATCCCATTGTCTTTCAGAGTTTTGATTTGCAATAAACTGATCAGTGTGGATATTGCAAAGCCCTTGCTAAGGTTATCATTTTTCTAGTGATCAGAACCGGATCACATTGACCTCACAGTCTATTAAACATTAGCCTCCCTCAGTTCCTCGTTATAAGCTGGAACCAGTGTAGAGTTAAGATTCAGATTAGCTGTGTCCAAGTTGAGGGTCATAACAGTCTCAAGAGCTGAAAGAGTTCCTCCTGTCTCTATAAAGGAGAATAAGTCTCATTTAATCTTTCCTAATGGGGTAAAGCAAGATGATTTTCTCTGATATTGAAGCCAGAATTTAATGCCCCACCTCAAGGCAAATTTGGTGCTGGGTGGTATATTCAATTAGACAGGAGGGTAATGCTTAAGAACCGCTTTACCCCCACTTATTTCCAGGACAGGAAAGCTCAATTAATGACTCCTTAAGGCACTCATCCCACCATAAGCAAAGAGGGAGAGACTGTACTGTGCAAGAAGCCTGAAAAGCAAAACCTTCAGTAGGGCTGGGGTCCCTTATTGTCAATCCTTGTTTGAGGGACATGGAATCAAGAAAGCAGGCCTGCTGAAAATCATCCCCTACTCACCGTGCTAACTCCCCCTCCCTACGTCTCCTGTGACCCACCTCCTACTGTTACTCACCTTGGATCCTTTGTGCTAAGGGTAACTAATTCTTGGCCTCAGGTGGGCATATTACCAGCAGTAGGCCATTGCTTCTGATTGCCCAATGAATCTTGGCAATGGTTTGAGGAATGTATTATTTCTGCATCGGGGGTCCTTAATCCCACAGAAGTCCCACTGCTGTCCAGCTACCTGCCTGATTGGCAGAAATGTTGTGGGCCTTCATGAAAGTAGGCGAAGTGGTCTTCTTTTGGGACGGCATGATGGCTCAGTGGTTAGCACTGCTGCCTCACAGCGCCACAGACTGGGGTTTGATTCCACCCTCGGGTGACTGTCTGTGTGGAGTTTGCACATTTTCCCTGTCTCTGTGTGGGTTTGCTTGGGGTGCTCCGGTTTCCTCCCACAGTCCAAAGATGTGCAGGCTAGGTGGATTGGCCATGCTAAATTGCCCGTAGTGTTCAGGGATGTGTAGGTTAGGTGGGTTATAGGGGGATGGGTCTGGGTGGGATGCTCTGAGGGTCAGTGTGGACTAGTTGGGCTGAAGGGCCTGTTTCCACTCTGTAGGGATTCTAAGTAAGTTTTGGGTCAGACCCCATCACCTGCATTAAACTTCACCCGGAGGTACCAGTTCTTATTTCAAAAAGATTCGGTCGTTTCTTATGATGCCCAGTAGCCCATTAGCTAGTTTGCAGTCTGAAATAAATCAGTTCATCTATTTTGTTTATGATGATCCTTATCAAAACAAGTTTTCTTCCTCAGTGGATGAATCTAGGATTATAGAATCTCCACAGTGAGGAAGCAGGCTATTCAGCCCATCGAGTCCACACCAACCCTCCAAAGGGTATCCCACCCAGTCCCACCCTATAACTGAATTTCACATGGATAATCCACCTAACGTGCATGTCTTTGGACTGTGGGATGAAACCAGAGCACTCGGAGGAAACCCGCACAGACATGGGGAGAATGTGCACATTCCACACAGACAGTCACCCGAAGGTGGAATTGAACCCAGGTCCCTGGTGCTAACCACTGAGCCACCATGTTGCCCTACTTGGGCAGAGTGTATAATTATTTTATTGCCTATCCCTCATTGTCCTTGAGAAGGTGTTGGTGAGTTGGCTTCTTGAACCATTGCTCTCAATGGAGTGTAAGGACACCCACAGCATTGTTAACGAACTCATTTCAGGATTTTGACCCAGCGACAGTGAAGGAAAGCCCAGTATAATTCCAAGTCAGGATGGTGTGGCACTTGAAAGGGGACTTGTGGGTGGTTCCTATGTATCTGCAAGCCTTGTCTTTTGAGCTGGTGGAGGTTGCTGGTTTGAGTAGTGCTGTCAGAGGGGCTTTTGCAAATTTTTGCAGTGCATTTTACATCTTGTACACACTGCTGCCAATGTACATCTCATGGATGGAGTGAATTTTGAAGATAGCAGCTGGAGTGCGTATAGATGCGATTATGCATGAACTATCTAGCAACATGAATGACATAGAGGGACATGATAGAACACCAGTTTTTCTGTAATGACTGGTGTTTGTCAGTTGGCAGTAAGAAAACTGAGATTGTTTTGTATTTTTGTAACATTAAGTTAATGGAGTTGGATGATGGAACATTGGCATGAGGTCATTGGTGGGAATGGCCTCTTAATGTGTGGTAAATTCTGTATTAGTCTAGATCTAAAGATAGGTTCTGTAGTAAGGTCTATTTGTGGTTCCACTGTAGAATCTCTCCAGATGGAGTCGACATTGTCCTGGATTGCCTGTGCGGTGAAAATACTGGAAAGGGTCTTGGGCTCTTGAAACCACTTGGAACATACATCCTGTACGGTAAGTGCTGCACTGGTTCACACCCAGTGAGTACTTCAGTCTGAGCATGTTTGAGAAGCAAGTATTTAAATAATAAATGGTTTGTGTTGTTGCATTAATGTGAAAGAATATTCGTGTCTTGCAAGCATTACAATCATGTATTCACCAAATTCCAGGCTCATCAAATATGGTTACCGGAGAAACAAAAAGCTTCTTCAGCTTTGCCAAATCAGTAAGTATTAAAAAATTAATAATTAAGTAGTACATTGAGTTTTGGCTTGCTGTGGAAAATGCGTTTGTCTGTGTTACGTGTGCAGTTATGTTATTTTTGGCAATAGGGCAAGAAATTTCTCGTTTAATATATTGTAACTCCACTGTGCTCTGATGCATAACATATAGCTTCCACCAAATAATCCACTTCAACCAATGGCTGATTCCCACACCAAAAGATCTAAAGAAGCTTAAGGAATTTTAGTTTTTAAACTGCTGGAAGGTATTAGAATTCTCCATTTTCCTTGGCATGACTGGTGTTCATCAGTTATCAATGTGCGTTCAGTGACCCTGAAAACATTATTATTGACATGGTAAGAAAATTGAAGCTTTGAGAATGTTTTGTATTTTTGACGCGTTAAGCTAAACAACAACAAAAATAAACACAATTCTAGTTTTATTTACGAATAGAATATTTTACTTGTACTCTCCACATTCTGAAGATTACACAGACTTTTACAGCACAAAAGCAGGCCATTTTGCCCAACAAGTTTACTTTTTGTACATTTGTTCATAGTTGGCAGAGTATAGTCAGTATTCAACTAACACTTGCTTGCAAAACCCAGTCTACTTTTAGATGTGATTTCATGATTGGGCAACACTTGCTGAATAATCCTGAATTCCATAATATATATGCAAACAGCCAACTTAAGATAACACAGTCAAGGTTGTAACATGTCTCATTTATACTTGCTTGAGATGCCATGCATCCTTACACAGGAACTTGTTCTTTACAACCAAAGGAATGTGTTCAAGCATTGTATCCTTTTTGAACTACCTGTGAGTGTGGGAGATCCTATAGTACCTCTTTCCTTTCTGCAATTAGAATCAACTTGCCAATGACTAGCATCCTTTTGTCCAGTTGTATAAATTGTCGCAATCATTTGAAATTTAGCATTCTGGATTTTTCCTGATGCGTGCAAGATAAAAGGCAGTACAGAAGGAGGCCATTCAGCCTCTGTGCTGGATCTCCAGATCACAAAATGCACTTAGTTCCATCTCTCGACTTTTTCCCCTTTTAAGAAATATTCATGCTCTGTACTACGAAGAGACTGTACTCATTTCTGTATGTCCACTGTTCGAGACTAATGGTCAGCTCTCCTGGAGAGTCACGGTTGTGGGTGGTAATATTAGGCTGTGCCGACATAATTCAATCTCCATTTTAAAGCCAGGCATCCTGTCATATTTTAACATATTTAAATGATTTTATTTTGCCACCACAGTTAAGTTAAACAAGAACCAATTTTGAAGGAGAGAAGAAGAACAAGGAGTTTTCATGATAAATTGGAAGAAAAATTGACAGAAAAAGTATGCTGAAAATGTGGCAATAGGAGATGAGGTTTTGTCTACAGGAAGTGAATATGAACATATTAATATGTGAACATAACAATTCCTGTCTAACCACCTAGTTGAGGCAAATAGCTTAGATACTTTTAAGGGGATGATAGATTGATAGATAGACAGATAGATAGATAGACAGACAGACAGGTAGACAGACAGACAGACAGAAGGTCGGACAGACAGATGCATGGATGAATCGATGGACGGATGAATGGATACAGAGAAAGAAATACAGATCATGCTGATGGGATGACATAAAATAGGAGAGGGGGAGGCTTGTGTGGGGCATAAATACTAGCATGGAGCTGTTGGGCTGAATGGCTTATTTCCATGCCATGTCCTCATTGTAACTGGACCATTGAGTGTAAAGGTTCAAGGTTAACCTTAACTTTGCATGGTAAACGTACCCTCTGACACACTACACCTTGATGAACCCTTTATATTAATGCCCAATTCACTTAAAAGGAATTTTCTAAGTGTTGAAGCCCACCTTCAAAATAAACACACAATCTCATTTTAAAAGTACCTTTTGCTTTTTCCTTTTATTTAGCCTGATAAGTTAGATTCATTAAACCATAGCCCATGATGTACCTGTAAGTCAGTAAATCAAAACCCTGTTGTGCTTGTAGCTCATTAGATCATAATGTCATAGCAATGTCATAGCAATGTCATGCCCATGCTCATAGAATCATTGAATCTGTAACTCAAGGGACAAATGGAAGGATGGCCTCAAGATCAGCTAAATGAAAGTGAACTTTTGTTTTCCTTTTACAGTGGTGGCAAGTTGAGAAAGTGAACCCCATTAAACTCTATGAAGAGAACAAAGTCATTGCTGGATTTTCATTGCTTAACCTCCTCTTCAAACAAGGTCGGGGAGCCCAGGTGAAAGCAGTGATGGATAAGCTCATATTGCTGTACAACCAGAAGAAGATCAAACCCTTGGTGGATTCATTATGGGCCCTGGAGGAGGTAAGGATGTCATGTTGTGTAGATTGTTTGTTAGTGGCTGAGCTGCGAGACAAGCTCTCTCAAATCATAGTAACTGAGCACATGGGTTGACCCAGAGTTTTCTGCTAACTGGTGCAGTTTGCATGAATTTGGCTGGACCAGCATAATTGATACAAAATCTTTAACTCATGTTATGTTGAATGGTATGAGCAATGGAAAATGTGTTCATGGAACTAACTATTATGTAAACCATAATAATGAGGAAGCCATGTCTCCACTGATTTCATGTGCAAAAATTCTTCAATTTAAGCACTTTTGGCACATTAAGAATTTTTAAATTTGCAGAGAAACTGCAAACCAATAAGAGAAGTCAACAGTTCACGTAGTTTTTGATGTAATTTAAAGTTGAGCTGTTCACAACTAGTGGTTGAGACACTTAAGAAAAATATTTTTCTTTTGTGATGCACCATTTTCAATTGTACTGTTAAGACTGTACCAGAGTATGATTCTAATGAGGGCAAATAGCTCACCATGGATTGCAGTGATGAAGTACATGTTATGCATTGTAGTTGAATTCTGGGAAGTGGGTGCTTTTCACGTGTCTCTCTGTCAAAGGCATAAGGTTCTGCAGTAAACTGTGCATGTCAGTGAATTGGATTAAGGTATGGTTTTTGATTTATTTAATGTTCTTTACTTTCTGTGCACTTTAAAATGTAATAATGATGTCAAAAAAGGGTTTAGCTTGACATTAGTTTGTATTAACAATAGTTTCTGTTAAACCCAGTGGAATTTGCTTGATCTTTCTCATTGTGGTCAGTACTGTGGAAACGTCACAGGAATTGCTCTCGTTTAAATGTTACCTCTCCCTAATATCATTCGTGCAACCGTGATTTATACATTATGTTAGTCAGCTCACCACAAGACAAGAAAGTCAACTGTTTTATTCAGGGTTCAGGGAATTTCAGACACTTAGCTAAGATAAATGAATTAACATTCGCAAATGCGGGGAGGCAATGGCCTAGTGCTATTATCACTGGACTGTTAATCCAGAGACCCCCAGATAACGTTCTGGGGACCTGGGTTCAAATCCCCCTATGGCAGATAGTGGAATTTAAATTTAGTAAATATCTGGAATTAGGAATCTGATGATGATAACGGTGAATCCATTGTCGATTGTCAGAAAAAACCCATCTGGTTCACTAATGTCCTTTAAGGGAGGAAACTGCTATCCTTACCTGGTCTGGCCTACATGTGACTCCATTCTCACAGCAAAGTGGTTGACTCTTAACTGCCCTGTGGGAAATTAGGGATGGGCAACAAATGCTGCCTAGCCAGCGCCACCCTCATCCTGTGAACGAATCAAAAAAAAACTGGGCATGATGAGGTGAAATCTTATGCCCTCAGCCTGAGCGGATATGGTAATGGTATTGGGGTGGGAGGATAGCAGTCACTGAGGGTTATTGAGGCTGAGTCTTTGAGTATACCCAAAGCTGAGATAGTCAGGTTTTTGGTTGGTAAAGGAATCAAGGCTCGAGGGAAAAGGCAGGACAGTGGAGTTGGGGATTATCAAATCAGCCATGAGCTCACTGAATGGTGGGGCAGACTCACTGGGTCGAATGGGCCACCTCTGCCCTTTCTATGATCTTATACAGGGATAACCTATTCAGAAAACTGATGGCTTGTGCAATACTTGTCCTGTCAACAAGGTGGCATTGATTGTGTCACCTCTGTGCCTTAGTCTCATTCTCCCCTAGTGGTGTCAGGAGCTGTCTCTTCAAGAGATCTCATTTAATCTCAAAGACCCATTTACATACTTTAGATTTGGAGTGAAGATCTGAAGCAGTGTGAGCTTCCAGTCAATGAGAGGGTCATGGCACTGCCAGGAAAGTGAGTACGGTGTCTACACATGGAGGAAATTTTTAATGTAGTTGCAAACCAGTTGAATGTACAGGGAGTGGAAGCTCTTCCTATTGTTAGATCACATTGAGAACCTTGATGGCCACGTGGATGACCAGAAACTGCGGCCCACCCAACGATGGAGGTAAAACCATTGCCCTCTATCACTCTGGGTCAATGTCTATCGTTAAATAAATGTACTGTTCAGCTCTAGCAATAAAGATATCAGTATACAGTGAGATGCAATGGTAGGCAAGCATTTGCAAGATGTGTCTTAAGTCCCACAGCTGATCCTCAGTAGAATCCAGAAGTAAATAATTTAATGGTCACATTTACTTTGACAGCTGCTGTCCTGGATATTTTGACCAGTGTGAGGTCTTTTGACAATAAGGGCACAGTTTTCTGTGGCTTTCTGATTGGAGAACTATAGTCTTCCCTGGGATAACAAGGTGTAGAGCTGGATGAACACAGCAGACCAAGCAGCATCAGAGGAACAGGAAAGCTGACATTTTGGGTTTGGACCCTTCTTCAGAAGTGGGGCAGGGGAAGGGGATTCTGAAATAGATAGAGAGAGAGGGGGAGGCGTATGGAAGGTGGATAGTGGAGAAGATAGGTGGAGAGGAGACAGACAGGTCAAAGAGACGGGGATGGAGCCAGTAAAGGTGAGTGTAGGTGGGGAGTTAGGGAGGGGATAGGTCAGTCCAGGGAAGACGGACAGGTCAAGGAGGCGGGGATGAGGCTGGTAGGTAGGAGGTGGGAGAAAAGACGGACAGGTCAAGGAGGCGGGGACAAGCTGGGCTGGTTTTGGGATGTGGTCAGGGGAGGGGAGATTTTGAAGGTTGTGAAGTCCACATTGATACCATGGGCTGCAGGGTTCCCAAGCGAAATATGAGGTGCTGTTCCTGCAACCTTCGGATGGCATTGTTGTGGCACTGCAGGAGGCCCAGGATGGACATGTCTTCCAAGGAGTGGGAGGGGGAGTTGAAATGGTTCACTACTGGGAGGTGCAGTCTTCCCTGGCCCTAGTTTTCACCCATCCCCAGGTTACTGCATCTTCAGTGATTGATTATCAGCGGAATGTTCATAATCTGTTGCCTTCTTGCCCCTCTTTCCTCACCCATGACTCAAAACGTTAACCCTGTTTCTTTCACCACAGATGCTGCCAAACTCGCTGTGTTTCTCTGATATTCTCTGCGTTTGCTTATTAATCTTTTGCTCTCTGTCCATGTTGCCATGTGGTGCCTACTCTATTCAAAACCTTGATGTAGAGTGGCACCTATGTGGTGCCAAAAAAACCAGTTCTCCCTCTGCAGTGTTGATCTACTGATGGGTCATGATAACACCTAGTGCAGCTACAAATGACTACCAATTGTGTATCTGTCTGTCTTTGGTGAACCAGCCTTTGCTAGGGTGAGTTACCAGTCCAGCAACTCGAAAATCAGAAACCCTAATTCATTCTAAAGGAGCTTTCAAACTGTCCTAATTGGCCTTAATTAGAGGGAGACAGATTTCTGTTCCACCCTCCCAATCACACTGGTGGTAATTGCTAGCTCCAAGTTGGCACTTTGAAATTTCAGAGCTTCTCCATTCTCATCTCATCGAGGTCACAGAGTTATTGCAGCATGGAAAGAAAACATTGTGTTCACGCTGATAATCTAACATCTATCCATTAGGATCCCATTTTCCAGCACTTAATCCATAGCCTTGTATGCAATGGCATTTCAAGTGGTCATCTAAATACTTCTTAAAAACATTGAGGGTTCTTGTTTCAGTCAATCTTTTAGGCAGTGAGTTCCAGACACCCTCAATTCTCTGTGTCATTGTCCAACAAGTTTATTTAAAATCATAAGCTTTCAGCAGGTCAGGTCGCCTGAGCAGTGCTGTGAAAGCCTGTGATTTTAAATAATCCTGTTGGACGATAACCTGGTGTCATGTGACTTCTGACAACACCAGCATCTCCACATCATCAATTCTTTGGGTGAAAGACATTTTCATAAAATCCCCTCTATACCTCCTGCTCATCACCATAACACTATGTCCCCAGGTTGCTGTCTCTTCTACTAAGGGGAAATATTTCTCCCTATCTGCTCTATTTATGCTGCTCATAACTTTGGACACTGCAATCAGCATGTCCCACCTTTCCCTCATCAACAATCCCCAGTCAGCCTTCTCTGTTTTAAGAAAAGAAACCCCAGCCTATCTAGGTTCTCTTAATTACTGAGTCATTCCTGCTCAGGTATCTGCCCAGCTAACTCACTGGAAAATGGTATTGAAAAGTTTGGTTATACCTCTGCCTATGAGTATGGTGTAGTTAACTAGGAAACGACCAGTGAGCTTCTCTTGCTTAAGCCTGTCTCAAGCTCAAACACATAGGGGAATGAGTTAGTCGGAAGACAAAACCCCAGAGTGGAAAGCCAGTTAAAAAAAGCAAGAAAACTTGGAAATGAATGTGCTCGAGCCCTGTTTTGAGGGATATAAAACACGGTAAATGTGTCATTGATAGTCGGAAGAAGGGTCTAGGCCCGAAACGTCAGCTTTCCTGCTCCTCTGATGCTGGTTGGCCTGCTGCGTTCATCCAGCTCTACACCTTGTTATCTTAAATATGTCATTTACAATTTTTCTCTTTTTTTTCTTTCGGGGATGGTTAACAGCAAATTGGCAACTTGCTTTCAACTTTACCTAATTTTCTTTACTATTTTAGTGGACCAACGTGAATTTGTATCAACGTATCTACCAAAAATAGATGAGGTGCCACAGTAGCTCAGTGGTTAGCACTGCTGCCTCACAGTGCTGGGGAGCCGTGTTCGATTCCATCTTCGGGTGACTGTCTGTGTGGAGTTTGCATGTTCTCCCCGTGTCTGCGTGGGTTTTCTCCGGTGCTCCGGTTTCCTCCCGCAGCCCAAAGATGTGCAGGTTAGGGTGGATTAACCATGATAAATTGCCCATAGTGTCTGGGGATGTGCAGGTTAGATGGGTTAGCCATGGGAAATACAGGACGGATGGATCTGGGTGGGATAGTCTTTGGAGGGTTGGTGTGGTCTGAATAGCCTACTTCTACACTTCTACATTCTATGATTATAAGAAGTATCATTAAGTAGGACCCCCAGTGGGCTAGACTGATCTGCTGTCTTGTGAAAAACATATCTATGCAGAGTATAAAACATACCTGAGCTTCCTCACAATGACAGCTCTTGTAGAATCAAATTTTTACTCTC